CATGGAGGTTCAATTTTCTTGAATTTTTTTGATAGATGCCTAAATGGGATTACTGGGTTGAATGACAGATCCATTTTTAGTGTTTTGAGACTCATCCATACTGCTTTCCATACAGGCTTGACTAGTCTGCATTCGGCCAGCAATGTAAGAGAGTCCCCTTTATTCTACTTCCACCAGCACTTGTTGTTTCTGGCCTTTTTGATATGGGCCAGAGTCACAGCTGTGTGATGGTATCTTATTGTGGTCTTGATTTGTATTTCCCTGATAAGAGGTGTTTACTATTTTCCCCATATACCTGTTGGCTATTTGCATTTCTTCTTTGGAGAGGTGTCTGTATAGCCCTTCTGCCCATTTTTTGATTGGGTTATTTGCTTTTATTATTGTTGAGCTGTGTAAGCTCTTTTGAGCTCTTCTATGTCAAACCTTTACCAGATGATGTGCAACTATTTTCCCATATTCCAAAGGGTGTTTCTTTTTGTTTGTTTGTTTGCTGTCTCTTGCTGTATAGAAGCTTTTTACTTTGATATAGTCCCAGCTATTTATAGTCTCCTTTGTTTTCTTTGATTCTGGAGATGAATCATCAAAGATATTTCTGAAGTTTCTATCATAAAGTGTTTTGCTTATGTTTTCTTCTAGATATTTCATGGTTTCAGGTCTTATATCCAAATCTTTTACCCATTTTGAGTTGATTTTTGTGTATGGTGTGAGTTAGTAGTATAGTCGTGTATGGTGTGAGTTAGTAGTATAGTCGTGTATGGTGTGAGCTAATAGTATAGTTGTGTATGGTGTGAGTTAGTAGTATAGTTGTGTATGGTGTGAGTTAGTAGTATAGTTGTGTATGGTGTGAGTTAGTAGTATAGTTGTACTGTCTTGAGTATGGTAGTCCAATTTTCCCACCACCATTTATTGAACAGGCTTTCTTTTTTTCCAGTGTATAGTCTTTCCTCCTTTGTCATAGATAAGTTGACCATATATGTATGGCTTTATTTCTGGACTTTCAAGTTTATTCCACTGATATGTTTGTCTGTTTTGTTCCAAATACCATGCTGATTTTATTATGATGGCGTTATAGTATACTTTAAAGTCTGGTAATGTAATATCCTCATTTTCCCCTTTTTAGTCAGTTTTTATTTGTGATTCCACATGAATTTTAGCAATATTTGCTCCATTTCTTCAAAGAATGCCATTGAAATTTTTATTGGAATTGTATAGAATCTGTAAATTGCCTTTGGTAGGATGGACATTTTGACAATGTTGATTGCTTTGATCCATGTCAGGGAATGTCTTTCCCTTTCTTTTGTGTCTTCTATTAACAATGTTTCATAATTTTTGTATGTGTCTTTTATCTTCTCTGTGAGGTTTCTTCCCAGATACTGATTTTTTTTTAAATTTCTTAATTTCCTGTTCTTCAGGCTGACTGTATCTAGGAAGGCTGCTAATTTTTGTATATTGTTTTTATAACCTACTGTTTTATTACTGGTTTTTTATTTTTTATTTTATTATTTTTTAAGAATTATTTATTTATTCATATAGAACTGGGGTACAGGCCAGAGATGCGAAGGGTGAGAGGATTCACCAGAGACAGAGCGGGGAGCAGAACAGGCAGATCGACTAAGTACATTGCTGAGGGGAGCAGCAGGCAGGTCTGGAGAGGTCTGCCTCACCATGTGGATCTCCTCCGGGGCAGGCAGGAATCGAACTCATGCGGAAGTGGCTTAAGCTTCTTAGTGCTGTGCTTTAACCCGCTGCGCCACAAGGGAGGGCCCTGGTTTATTTATTTATTTTTAAGATTTATTTATTTTTGCATACAGAACTGGGGTACAGGCCAGAGGCTCAGGGGCGGCGAGAGGCTTCACCAGAGACAGAGTGGGGAGCAGAACAGGCAGATCCATGAAGTACACTGCTGAGGGGAGCAGCGGGCGGGTCAGGAGAGGTCTGCCACGCCATGTGGTCACCTCCGGGGCAGACGGGAATCGAACTCATGCTGAAGTGGCTTTAGATTCTCAGTGCTGTGCTTTAACCTGCTGCGCCACCAGGGAGGGCCCCTGGTTTATTTTTTTAATTAGTTTTTCCAAGGATTTTTTTTAGGGATTTCTCTGTATGTTACAGTGTCATCTGCAAATAGGGTTAGCTATACTACTTCATGCAAATTTGGGTTTCTTTTATATCTTTCTCTTGTCTGATTACTCTAGCGAGGACTTCCAATATTATGTTGAATAGTAGTGGTTGAGAGTAGATATCCTTGTCTTGTCCCTGTGGAAAGGCTTTCTGTTTCACCAGTGAGAACTATGTCAGCTGTGTGCTTGTCATATATGGCATTTATTATGTTAAGATATGTTCCTTTATTCAATTTTTTTCAAGGACCTTCATCATAAAGTGATGTTGAACTTTATCAAAAGCTTTCTTGGTATTTACTGATAAGGTCATGGTTTTTATTTTTCTGGAGGTGATGTGGTGAATTATATTAATTGTTTTCAGATATTGTTCCTGGACTAAATCCCACTTGATCATAGTACATAATTCTTTTGATCAGTTGTTAGATTCATTTTGCTAAGATTTTATTGAAAATTTTAGCATCTGTGTTCATTAGGGAAATTGGCTTGTATTTTTCTTTTTTGTGTGTTTTATTTGCTTGGTTTTGGTATTAATATGATGTCAGTCTCATAAAATATATTTGGTAGTGTTCCTCATTTCTCACAATTTTGAAAGAATTTTAGCAGCATAGGTGTTAGTTCATCTTTGAATGATAGAACTCAGTTGTGAATCCATGTGGTCCTGGCTTTAGTGTCTTTGGAGAGATCTAATAAATTATTGAAACAACAAATCAGTTCAGTAAAGTGGAGTTTACAAAATCAGTATGCAAAAATTAGTTGTATTCCTATATGAAAATGAGCTAGAATAAGAAGAATTCAAGAAAACTTCCCCATTTACAAACTCACTAAAAGAATTAAATAACTAGGAGTAAACAAAGGTGCTGAAAGATCTATTAAATGCAAACTCAAAGGCATTGTTAAAAGAAATAGAACACACACAGAGATAGAATGATACTTCTCATAGATTAGAAGAGTTGGCCCTGGAGGTGATCCACAGGGCATGGCAGACTGATCTGCCTGCTGGGCCCTTCAGCAGTGTACTTCATCGACCTGCCTATTCTGCTTCCCACTCTGTCTCTGGTGAATCCTCTCACTGCCCTTGCACATCTGGCCTGCACCCCAGTTCTGTATGAATAAATCAGTAAATCTTTTTTTTTTTTTAAAAAGACCCTAAATAGCCAGTGCAGTCCTAGCATAAAAGAGGAAGAATGATGTATCACACGCCCACACTGCAAACTTAATCACAAAGCTATAAAAATCAAAACAGTATGCTACTAGGTTACACATACATGCACACACACTTGTAAAATAAAGGTGGGACCCCCAAAATAAACCCACACCTTTATGGGCAGTCAAGCTATGACACAGAGCCAAGAGTTGGGTTGAGGGAAGGAGAAAAGTAGAAAGGGGCCATAATGTACTATGTATGTCTTGGTGGTGGATGTGGTATAGTACCATACACCTGAAGGGCATGATCCTCTACCTCTAAATCATACAGAATGTTGTAAACCAGTGTTGCCTTAATAAAAAGAAATAAATAAGAAATATAATCTTAGCTGGTCATAATGCCTAGTTTCCAGAGGACTTTCCTGAAGGAAACAAAGAATTGCTAAATTTCCGTGGGGTTTTCACTAAGACATGAAAGCAACAAAACTGAAAAATTGCAGAAAAAGCATGAAAGCAACAAAACCTGAAAGATTTACAGAGAGCTGTAAACGAGATTTTGAGCAGAATACAAGGTGCTGATGAACTGTGTTTAAGGAGTTAATCGTGAAGTACAGAGAGGATGTGACTCTAATGGGTTGAGTGAACTATTTCTTTCTATACAAAGAAATGAAGATTTCAACAAGGGTGGATGCCAAGATGCTACTTTTAAAGAGGGGGCAATAAACATTGTTGACAATTAAATGTAACTGCCACCATTAGAATTTTGCTTGTAATTTTCTGAACTGCTGAGAGATTTGATAATATAAACATATTTTGGGAAGCCACAGACTCAGGAAGGGAAAGAGGGTTTGCTAGCCATCTCTGTTCTGTGTGGTGTGGCTTCTTTGTCTTCTCTCCAATCATACAGGATTGTCGTTTATTCCGTGAACTGAAACCCACCTCAAAATTTTCATGCACTGACTAGTTATTAATAGTATTTTGGTATAAGGACTATGAATTTGAAGTCACCCATTATGTTCTCTTTAAGTAGTTTTTCTCTGAGAAGAGTAACCCCCGTTTCTTCATATCATGACAAAGTTTGCTTATGATTTTAACATACAGTCATAACTCAGATACTGCAATGTTGCTTCCAGACCATCACAATAAAATGACTATTGAAAGACAGAGAATCACCTAGGTTTTTTGTTTTTCCAATGTATTTGCAAAAAAAAAGATATATGACAGTCTGTTAAGTGTGAAACAGTGTTGTAAAAGGAGCAATGTGCATACCTTCAGTATGACACAGAGACACTGTGAGCACAGGCTATTGGAAAAATCATTCCAACATTCTTGATCATTGTGGGGTTGCCACAAACCCTCAACTTGAGAGAAAAAAATGAATGTAATATCTGCAAAGTGCAGTAAAATGGAGTACAATAAAACACATTAGGTTGTATACAAGAGCAATTTAGTGATAGGACCTATGAAATACAATTGGGTGTTTAACTTACAGATCAGAAAGGCTATCAGACTTTGAGAAGATTAAATGAGGGTGGAGAGAGGACATGCGGTGATAGATACTAGTATAGGTGATGATTTATCCGATGTATGTCCATTTCCTTCATTTTATTACACCGTTATATTTGTATATCGCTATCATTTCAGTCGTGATGACCTGACACATTTCAGAAATTGTCACAAAGGACATAAAGATTGTTGCTTTCTGGAGCCATAAAGGGTTTTTTTTTTTTTTCTTTTTAGTTGCTGAAAAAATACACACTCTATCATGAATTATAATTTGTGGCAGCCTTACATGCCATTCTTCCTGGCTATGCAGAAGTACAGATTTACTACTTGCTGCTGAATTAGGAGAACCTAAATTGGTGTCAGCTGAACTCCCAGTGAACTGGTAAGTGTAGAGGATAGTTTGTATAGGATTCCTAAAGTTTCTCTTTTAATTTTTCATTTATTTTAGTTTCAGGTTAAAGTAAGAGAAGACACACTTGAACTTTTCTAGTCTTTTACCATTCAAGTGGTGAAATATTAATATAAAATAAAAATGATAAAATAATCTTATAACTAATTGCTGTATTTCCAGAAAAATCTGGAAAATATTACTTGACATTTTTGGTTGTACTTGGATGCCTGAATTCAGACATTTCAAATGTAATTAATATCTTTCCAGGGCTTTGTTTTGGATGGTTTTAGGCTCTGTTTTTTGTTTTTTGTTTTTTTTTCCTAAATAAAGCACAAAATATTTGAATGATATCTTACCGTCCAAGCTTGAGCAGGAGCTTCAGTGGTGGTATCCTACCCTCCAATAATTGAACTTTTTCCCCCTTCTCCCTCATTCTAATATTTGTTGAAAGGTATAGAAGCAGAAAAGGTCCTTGTATAACATAAACGGGCATTTAATTAGGGTATAATACCTGTGCTACTGGAGTATGTGAAGTGAAACAACACTTAATCAGCCACAAAGCTATTTACCGCATCATAAATTTCAGTACTCAGAGTCATAAGTATTATTACTGTTCTGGAACTTTAGAAAAACAATGAAATATCAGAACTGATTTTCTGTTAGACTATCGAAAATTTATCGAACTTTGCATTGAAGCTGTTATTTGGGAGAAGTATAAATACCTGAAACTTTAACTGGAGAATGGTCAGAAAGGACTTAAATACAAATGTCTTTATCTCTATTAATTCTGAGATTATACTGAAGAATTCATCACATCATATTGCACCTCTTGTTTATTGAACATCTCTTGTTTGGTGTGTCAATAGATGCTTTTCATACATTATCTTTAATTTTATAGCCACTGTAAATTACATTGATCCTAGTTTTAGAATGATGACACAGAGACACAGAGATTCTCACTCATCCAGGTGTGTCTAACTATGCCTGTAACGTCTATTACTTTAAACTATGTGGAATATTACCCTACAGTAGTCTTTTTATATCTATTCAGCTGAAAATACAGAGAATTCTTAAAATTTTGACTGTTACCCTCCATGTGCAGCATTTATTAATTAGCTAGTCTATTCCTAATACTTATTAAATATTATGAAGATTGTAATTGCAAAATGCCTACTCGTAGCTCCACAGAGCTTACAAACTGACAAGCATTCCAACCTTTTACGTGAAATTTCATAAAGTAGAAACAATGGCAGCAAAGTTTTTTCTCAATATTTTTTAACTGAGCTGCAAAAATATTCCCTCTGTTCAGATGGAAATGCACTCAATAACTTTAACATACAGTCCAGTTGACATCTGTATGAACCAGCTTCCGTGGATAAAGAATGGCTTCCTAGACTGGTTATTTTTTTTTTTTTTTAAAGATTTATTTATTTATTTGTGCATACAGAACTGGGGTACAGGCCAGAGGCTCAGGGGCGGTGAGAGGCTTCACCAGAGACAGAGTGGGGAGCAGAACAGGCAGATCTACGAAGTACACTGCTAAGGGAAGCAGTGGGCGGGCCAGGAGAGGTCTGGCTCGCCATGTGGTCTCCTCCGGGGCAGGCGGCAGGCGGGAATCGAACTCATGCGGAAGTGGCTTCAGATTCTCAGTGCTGTGCTTTAACCTGCTGCGCCACCAGGGAGGGCCCTATATATAATATTTTATTAGTGGGGGAATCACTGCTAAGGAGAAACCTAGAAAAGGTAGTTAGCATAAAATTTCCTGAAGTAGAAAGTGCTTTACAGAAAAGCTGTCATTTGAGCCAAGACAAAGAAAACCTGGTTAGCACTGAATCTAAGGAAAGAATGCTAACATTTGTTAATCCAAATGTTTATTTCTGTCAGTTGCTTATATTGTTCTATTTTGTGACCTAGTATGATTCTGTAGAAATTTGAGAACTCTGCTTTTTTATGAAAATGTCAGCAGTGGAAGATGACAAGTTTGGGTTGTTGATGTTTGCTTAACAGAATTTACTGTTTACTATTTCCATTTCTCTTTATACATAAAGAACCCAAGGTCCAAATAAGCTATGATATGTTTAATGTCATATATTGTGACCATCAGACTTGAAATTTGGCGTGGGGTCCTCCCTGGTGGTGCAATGGGTTAAGTCTCAGTACTCTGAAGCTATCTGCAGCCACTGTGGCTTGAGGCCACACATGGCATGGCAGACCTCTCCTGCCTCACCATGCTCCCCTCAGCGAGTGTACTTTGTCAGTCTGCCTGTTGTACTCACCACTCTGTCTCTGGTGAATCCTCTCACTGTCCCTGAACTTCTCTGACCTGTACCCCAGTTCTGTATGCATAAGTAAATAAATCTTAAAAAAAAAAAAAAAGATTTATTTAAAAAAAAGAAATTTGACTTGGCTTTATTCATGGTTTCTCTCCTGATGTCCTAGTTGAAAAATATATAACGCTTAGTAATGTTTTAATAATAGAAGAATTTTTATTTCTATTTATTGTTTTTCATCATTGGCTTTGGGAAAGAAGTGATTGAAGAAATATGCAGTAATGGAAATATCCAAAGTGGAGTATGGACAGAAATTTATTTTAGTATGTGAAGCCTTTAGAATGTTCAGCTCTCTAAAATGAAGTCATTTAATTTTGGACGATATTTATGTCCACACGATCTTTGTAATGTATACTGTAGTGTGAGGATGGCAGATTTAATAAGTCTTAACCTGTGAAGTAATAGTGACAATACAGTTTCTAAAGTTTAGATTTATTCATACATCCTTCCTTTAACTGGCCTTTTAACTGAAGTAAAATTGATGGGGAATGTGTAAAGTTATGGGGAGTTTAGAAATGGGATGCCTTTGGTTGACTGTGATTATCATAATGTATTTCAACCTTGAAATTGAGCTGTGTATGACAGAGGAAGGCAGCTGAGACATAATAAAATGCCAGAGAGACAAAATAACCTTCAGCTAGTCTATAAAAGAAAGATTAAGAAGTTCTAAACGTAAATGCCAAATTCTGTCACATAGCCATTTCTTGGAATTTTCAATGATCATAGCTGTTCTTTTTCTGGATCTATGGATCTATAAATGCATTTCAATTTTGAATGATAGAAGATAGTATTCAGAGTCTACAGTCAGCCTTCTTCTAAATGCCTTATTGAGGAGATAGTCAAGTAAAACCAAACAGTTTCTGAAAAACAATGCAAGTGATGTAAGCACAGAAGAATAAAATGCGTCCTCAGAATTTCCATAGTTAAGTCCAAGGGAAAGCTTTTGACTTCATATGTTAAGATTCTTGTTGATCCCATCTCCTACTTCTTATTATACTCTTCCTGACTAGCTAGTTCTTCTCCCTCACCTCTCTTAAGATACTCAGAATATACTTGGGACCAAAAGTAGAAAGTGGCTAAGCAGAAATATACATGTTAATTGTCATTTCAATTAAGACAAGCGGGCAGTGTCCCATGTACATGTATTTGTTAGTGAATATAACCTACAGTGGATATAAAATAAAGATGCTAGTTTATTTCTTGAGTACATAACTTAAAATTTTCACCAAAGCTCTCATCTGTTGCACTAATTCCTATCCATTTTCCATTTTATTCTACCCTGTCCATTAATTTCTGAAAACCTTATGTTAATGATCAATTCCTTTGTCTTTTAATTTGTGCTCATGATAGATAATTGAGTCTGAACTCTGATTCTAACTACCTTTTTGACTCCTTTTAATGAATCTTCCCTTCTGGTCAATTTTGTTTATTTAATACATTTTGGCTCTTCTCTATGCACTCCAAATTTTCTATGTACCTAATGAAATTTTGTCAAATGACTCAATTTTTCTGGAGTTTAAGTTTCTTTACCCATCTAAAAAGGACAGTGGGCTTAATGACCCTTGTAATTGTTTAGTGATTTCTAATTTGCATGAAAATTTCTCAGACATTGTCATTTCATATTTCCATTACCTCTTTACAGTAATGAATATCATAGTTATAGTCACTGTACAAATAAGAAACCCAAGTCCAAGTAGGTTAGCTCACTTGTAGGTAATTTTTCAAATTTTTTGGTCTCAGAAAAACCAATTGTGATAATATTAAATGAAATACTTAGTTGTAAATTTAAACAAATATATGCAGAGTTGTATGTGGGAAACTAGAACACTGATTATATTAAAGAAGATCTAAGCAGAGAAGCAATACTCTGTGAGTATAGATTGGAAATTTCTGTCTTGTTAAAATGTTAGTTTTTCCCACTTTTTCCTACAAGTAAAGCACAGCTCCAGTCAAAACCTCAGAAAGCTATTTTGTAGCTACCTATTTACTGATTCTTAAGTTTATATGGACAACAAAAGATGCAGTATAGTAAATACAATACTGAAAATAAATGAAAAAATTTATAGTACTCATTCTACCTGATCTCAGGACAGTTTTATCAGGCGATGGTGGTATTAGTGAAAGAACAGATACATAGAATTAAGAGTTTGAAGTAAATCCACACAAACATTTTTTGTTGGTTTTTGATAAAAGATCAAAGTCAACGGAGAAAGGATCCTCTTTTTAATAGGATAAAGGATAAATTGGATTGGAACAATTACATTTCCATATGCAAAAAAGTAAACCTAGATCCAGGAGTTAAAATTTACACAATAATTAATTCAAAATAGATCATAGACATGCATGTAAAATACGAAATTAAACATTTAATGAAGAAAACAGAAGCTCTGTAACCTGAAGTTTAATGACTAGTCTTAAAAGTATAACTTTAGGGACTCTCCCTGGTGGCTCAGTGGGTTAAAGCACCATATTATGAAACTCTCCGAAACCACTGCAGCACAAGTTCAATCCCCCATCAGGGAGCTGACCCACAGGCATGGCAGACCTCTCCTGAGCTGCCCATTCTCCCCTCGGCCTTTTCTGCTCCCCACTCTGTCTCTGGTGAATCCACTCACCCACCACACATCTGGCTTGTATCCCAGTTCTGTAAACATAAATAAA